CACAAAAAGCGGCTGGTTTTTGGGCAGTTTTGGTAGATTTTTCTCAAGCCATTTTCGGGTGATTCCGGCCACCAAATCTTTCAAATTAGGTATGCTTTTCTATCCTCTTGACATGATCTAGCTGCTGATTGTGTTAATTAGGAGAAATTTCTGCGTATTGGTAGTTAAATAAGAACTTAAAATCTGCCGATTTTCGGCCTCCGATTCCAGCCACTTCCGTCGACTTTTTGGGGTAGGTCTAAGAACAAAAGTTGCTCCACTCTATGTGGTGATCATGTAGGTATAAGTCTTGACCACCGGTTTGGAGATTTTTCGTTTGCCGAAATCGCTTTGGACGCCTGAATCGTGTGGCAGCGCGTGGGCCACTTTTGGGCTAGCCCCCGAGTCCTAAAATCATCCTTATGTCATCCCAAGCATGACGGTATACTCGAATATGAATTTGGATATCGTTTGATCGTCAATCAGATATCGCATATTAGGCGTTATCCGGGTTCGATATGTTTGAGCCGTTGGATCGACTCCAATTTAAAATATGTTGATCTAGGCATTCCTAGGATCGTGAATCGAAGCCCCGGATGTTCCAATTCAATAAGTTTAAGTTTGCGTTTTACGATAACCGTCTGATTGTACGATCGTGAGCAATCCGACCATTCGATTTGGACCCAACTTGCAGGGTAGGTTTAGAAAGTGTGATGAACCTATAGGAACTTCCGGATTGGTGATCGGAGGTCGTGGGTAGATGAGCTTTCTGGAGTACTATGGGCTTATCAAGCCACCAAAAAGAGATCAACCTGCGAAGCCCCATTTTCCTAAGCTTATGGAACTGAGGCAATCATTTCTCCACACATCACTGTCCCCTCTGTGAGCATTGAGGTGGGTAGTGTTGATTAGAATTCCGAACAAATGAAACTCAACCTCAACCTGTTGTTGTCGAATTCAGCTGCACCAAAATTGATTCATCAGCATTCTCAACTTGTGATACTCACAACTGCATGAGCTGTTCGGTAGTGTAGCATATGTAAGTGCGAGGTCGATCTCACAAGGATTGATGATAGATTGATTCAATTTGATTCCATGCACAAAACAGAAAACAAGAAAGAAAAGAACAGAAAACATGAATGAAAGAAAAGTACTAACTCAAGCAAATCAGTTAACAAGTTCAATTCAGATTCACGGATTGATTCTAGCTAAAGTATGATTAAGCCATGGTATCTGGTCCTAACCTTGAATTCCTAATTCCCTAATTAGATCCTTGTTGTCGAACCTAAATTAAGCGTAAGAAATCCATTAAGTATAGAAGAATGTTTTAAACAACCAAGTATGTATCTAATCCTTGTTGTTGAATGTCTATACATACTCTTCCTATTCATAGTTCAATTCAAATTAAAGCATATGTTGTCTACTCTTAATTCCAACCTAGATAGCTAACATACAAGTTTTAATGGTGATCAATCATTCAAACAAGTATATTAACTTAATAGCATAATGAATAAGAACAAAAACAGTAATTAAAACTTGGAAACTAATCAAACTTGAAAACTTAAAATAAGAAATTAATTACAATGAAAAATAAAGTACAACTCAGGAAAACATAAAGGAAAATTTAGCAAAAGGGTTTTGTTACAACAATTGAGAACTTAGAGAATTTGAGAAAGAGAAGGGAGATGAGCTCTAGAGAGGTGTTTGAGAGCTCCCCTCCCTTCCCCCTCCCCTGCTCCCCCCCTCTTTGGGGTGTTTTTGAGAACTTAGAGAATTTGAAGAAGAGAAGGGAGATGAGCTCTAAAGAGGTGTTTGAGAGGTCCCCCCCTTTGGGTGTGTTTGAGAACTTAGAGAATTTGAGGAAGAGAAGGGATAGGAGCTCTAGAGTGGTGTTTGAGAGCTCCCCTCCTTGGGGTGTGTTTGAAAACTTAGAGGATTTGAGGAAGAGAATGGAGAGGAGCTCTAGAGAGGTGTTGAGAGCTTCCCCCCTTGGGGTGTGTTTGTTAGCTTGGAGAACCTCACTATTTATAGGCCTAAGAAATCTGATTTGAGTATTGCCTCTACCTACAACACTCACTTCACCAACTTTACCTAACTTCCCCACCAAAAATAATTAGCTCATGCATATGTCATGCATGACAATGCACTGCAGTCTGCTTGTAGGCCGAATTTGGGCTCGTTCCTCTTCTCAATAAATTCTGGAAAAATATGGACCTTCAAGCTCGTTGTCTTATCTTTCCAACCATATGTAACCAATTTCAAGGGAAAATTGGAAAGGCCTTCAAATATCATTTTTGGCACAGTAACGCAAATACTGCCGAATTTCACCTTAAGCTGCCAAAACTTGCATAACTTCCTCTAGAAGACTTGAAATCATGAACCGTAAAATGCTCCAGAAATTAGACTTCTACATCTTTCCAATGACATATGGCTCATTATCTGGTTCTTCCTAAGCACGTACAGTCCAA